GACCGAATCTCAGAATTAATTCAAATTTGAATATGAAACCCATTAGGTCAAATTTCCACATGACACATCCAAATTTCTAAATGGGCACAAATTGTAATTTAGCACGAAATCTTATGGTGTTATAAAAAATTCGAACCTAAACTGGAGCAAGCATTAATTCTATGTTTTAAACTCATGAAACATTAACATAAAATGACACAACACTTAAAATGATACAATACATATGGTTGGAAAGAAAGTTTGAAATGCAAAAAATCAAGGATGCAGTCTTTAGGCTTGGTAGAGACAATGCTTATGGGCCAGATGAATATCTTTTAGCATTTTTCCAATCGTTTTGGGAGTTGTTGAAGGATGACCTAGTTCAACTATTGGAGTAGTTTTATTGGAGAGGCAAGATAAATATAACTATGAATTCTAGTTTTATTACTTTAATCCCCAAAAAAAGTGCCATAGAGGAAGTGAAGGACATCTGTCCCATTAATTTGTTGGACAGTCTTTACAAAATCATTGCCAAAATTTCTTGCAAATAGGTTACATTAGGTTATCTTTTAGTGATCAAAGGTCCTCAATCAGCATTCTTGAAAGATAAGTAGCTTATAGATAGTATTTTGGTAGTCAAGAATGCCTCCATTCCATAATTAATGAGAATAGACATAGGTTAATCTGCAAATTAGATTTTGAGAAGGCATATGATAAAGTTAATTGGAAGGTTCTACATTGCATAATGGGAAGGAAGGGTTTTAGATCGAGATGGAGACTAAGGATTCAAGGGTGTTTAATTTTTACTCAATTTTCACTCTTAATTAACAGAAAAACTGTTGGATTCTTTAAAGCTTCTAGAGGTTTGAGACAAAGTGACCATTTATCACCTTTCTTTATACTCTGGTCGCTGAAAGTTTAGTGTAATGTTTATAGGAGTGGTTTCAAAAGGTCTTATATCAGGAGTGAAAGTTGGGAATAATGGATTGATAGTTTTACATGTTCAGCATGCAAATGATACTATCATATATTTGTAACCCATTTAAAAGGGATGTTACAAGTTTGTGGATTTTTCTCAAATGTGTGGAATTGGTAGCAAGACTAAAGGTTAACCTTGGTAAGACCAAATTGATTGGAGTAAATTCTCCAGAAATACAATGGAAAGGTTGGCTGGTTTGTTGGGTTACGGAGTGGGAAGTTTACCTTATAAGTATCTAGGGATTTCCTCTTGTGAATTCTAATCCTCCGAGATCTATATGGGATCCAGTCATTGAAAGATTTTTCAAAAAGTTAGATTTGTGGAAAGCTAAGACTCTCTCTGGGTTGAAGGTATACTCTTGTCAAATCAACTTGTCAAATTTTCCAGTTTATTGTGTCTTTATTCGGGATGCCGGTACAGATTGTTAACGTCTAGAAGGTTTAATGAGAAGTTTCTTTTAGAATAATGAAAAGAAAAAGAAATTGCATTTGGTAAGTTGGGAGAAAGTTTGTGCACTGATGAGAGAAAGTTTGGGAATTAGAAAGTTGAAAGTATGCATTTGAGTTCGCTTGTCAAATGGTGGTGGAAATTTCACAGCCATAAAAATTCTTTTTGGGTGGGGGTTCTTAAAGAAAGTATGGGGTGGATGTTTTCTATAGCTTAATCAATAGTCCAAGAAATAAGTCATATTTTTTTCATGTTTGGAGGGATATTGACTGACCTATATATCTGATACAGTTTTTAAAAGTGATTGGAAATGAGAAAAAGGCTTTGTTTTGGTTTGATAAATGACTTAGTGACTTCCCACTAAGATATTTGTTCCCAAAGGCATTTGCCAAAGTTACTAACCCATTAGCTTATCTTAAAGAGGCTAGTGGGGGTTTCTCTACTAATATTGTTTGGTCTTTACCTTGCAGGTATAAAAGAGTTTCTAATAGATACATTGATGAATACCAATCTCTTATGAAAATGCTTCAAAACGTTTATATCTCACCAAATAAAGAAGACGTAATCATTTGGGATCTTAATCACTCAAGAACCTTTTCAATTAAGTCAGCCTACAATCTCATGTTTTGTGATCGGAGTAGATAGTTAAATGCTAGACTTTTAAATATAAAAAAACTTAATGTGACTTTAAAAGTCCAATTATTCTTATTGAATTTGTGCCAAGATAAATTAGTTACTATTGATAACTTGAAAAAAAAAAAAGGGGTTTCATTATAACCAATGTCTGTATTTTTTGCAAAGCTGATAATGCGACGGCCCAACATTTGTTTTTTGATTGTCCCTTTGTGATGAATCTATAAGATTGGACTCGTCAATGTCTAAAAGATTAGATACATATTTTCGAAAGTAATTGCCAGTTTCTTCATCAATGGCTTATTCCTGGTATCTCAAAGATGGGCATAATATTTGTGGAGATCAATTTGGGTGAGTATTCTTTGGGGTATATGGAATGAAAGAAATAAAAAGGCATTTCAAGGGTTGAGCATTAATACTACGATATTGAAATTCAATATTTTGGCATTGGTAGCAGATTGGTTTTCTACACATTAAAATGTCAAATTTATCCCAAAAAGTCATATCAGTGCTATTCCTAGGGCAATGGCTAGTTTATCTTCTCTTAGATTAAGTCGAATGGGTGATATTTGGACACCACCACCTGCTAATGCATAAAACCTAAATTTTGATGGAAGCTCTTTTGGAAACCCAGGTGTAGCTGGTTTTGGTGGATTGATAAGAGACCATATGGGGCATATTATTTGTTCATATTTTGGCCCTTGTGGTGTCACTACAGTTAATGAAGTTGAAGCCAGAGCCCTTTTGGAAGGCATTACTCTTGTCAAGAATTGAGGGAGACAAGATCATAGAAGGGGATTCAACAAATATTATATCTTGGAGTAAAGGTAAAATTAAATACCATGGAGGTTGACTACAATTTTTCATGAAATATGGGATATTCTCAATACTATAACTATTGAAATCCACCATTGTTATGGAGAGTCTAATGCCAAGGCTAATTGTCTTGCTAAAAGAGTATACCAATCTTCTTTGGTGGTTACTTCCTTCCAGTGACTTTGCATCTTGTAATTTGTTTTTCTTTTAATGAAAATTCTTTGGTAATGTTCGAAAAAAAAAAAAATGCTACAAGAATGTTTTTTTAAACGGAAAAGTTTATATAGAGCTGAGGCTCTAAACAATCAAATTTGAGCCTACCTCAAAAATTTCACTAGAATATATTGTTTTGATGCTCAAATATCTTCAAATTGATCATCTCAGCATCAAGATGCATAGACATGAGAAAAAAATGGATTTCAAGTTTTGAAAATAGTGTATTTTGTAACACATTTTTTGACCATTAATTTTCAAGTTTTCATATATCTATCGATCTACACTATTTTTGAAGCTTTAAACTTTATAAATAAATATGAAAATATATTTTAAAGATATCACATATTTCAAGTATTGAAACCACATTTCTCCACACTATTAGAAGGTAGGCTCTAATTTGATTTTTAGAGCGCTCTATATAAACGACACCCTTTCTTAAAAGTTGTATCCTAACCCAATTTTCGGATCCAATTAGGATCCAATTAGGATCCAACCCAATTTTTGTAAATTGTAAATTTTTATTTTATAAATATATATAATTTTTTTAAATAATATATATAATTCAAATCCGGATCCTATGTATACTATTCGGACTTTGATCCAGAACTAAATCTAACATATACTATTTGGATCCAAATTCAGATCTAGTCAAATCCGTAATCGATCCAACCCGTTCTTACCCCTAAAATTTCTTCACTTTGGTGAGGCATGTAAAAGGTTGCAAACCTTACCGTGCACCTCCAAACTTGGTTATAAGACAAAGTTTTGGTGTCAAATTTTTAGGATGGTATGATAATTTATTTTCATCTCTACCTATAAAATTTTAAACTCTAAAAATGATTCAAATTCATAGACATATATACGCATGAATATTTTGAAAAGTCCATATTATGTGTTGTAGTGTGTATTGTTTCTTTTCTTTTTTTTTTTTTTTTTTTTTTTGGTAAATCAACAAGTTAAAGACGCCCTGCCCATTTTCATTTAATAATAATAAAAAAAAAACAGCTCATAATGTTACAACCCTACAATAGAACAATTGTGTCAAATCATAAAAAAAAAGGTTAATATACTTTCCCTACAGCATAGAAGTTCTATCATCTCCCTATCATCCAACCGTCCAGTTTTGATCAAGAGAGCCACTCACTATTTGAATTTAGATTCGATGTCTCAAAGTATTTTATTTTCAGTTTTTTTTATACAAATTGTATGAATATGAAATTTCGTAGGTGCCATCTTCTCATTGGGGTGCACCTATAAAAATTATTAAAAATAATTTTTCAGTAAAACATAATGACCAAAATACCCCCTAAAACTTTCAAAGGTATTTTGATCATTTTATTTTATTGAAAATATATTTTTTATATTTTTCGCTAGTACGAGTTTGATAGAAAAATGGACATCAATTTGGTGTCAAAATAGTTCATAAAAAAAATTAAAAATAAAATAATGTAGAAACCGGATATTGTGATTGGGGCAATCCTAACCCTCCATTCAAAATGGACGGTTGGATAATGAGAAATATAAAAGTTTTATGCTATATGAGAAGCATGAAAAGCTTGCCCATCATAAAAAAAATGTATTATTTCTTGAACTTGAATTTTGTTTTCCATGTCCATGCATCTTGATCGAGATGTTAAGTTACATGAATTTTCTTTGTCAAAATAGCCTTTTCCGATGGAGTTATGATGTGCACCTTAATTCTACGCTTTAATTATGATGTGTACCTTAATTCTACACTTTAAGGTGTAAACCTTAGATAAGCGTTTTCCGAAGTTAAATTTCCTTCTAGTACAAATTGGGGAATAAGAATGATAAACATGCAAGCCGATCCTTCAAAGTTAAAATCTAGCCCATGGAAATACCCCAAAGGTCCAGGCAAATTCCAATCCATTCTCAGTATTCAAGAAAGCATCAACAAATACACAGCTAGTACTGGCAAACGTTTTCCCGAGTCATTTTATATATTAAAAGCACAGCCCTGCATTCATGGCCCCAAGCATCACGCAAATTAATCAGGCCCGCATGCGAGGACTACTCCCTATCTACAAATAACATAAAAATAAACAAACAAGCCCTCAATACATCCATGAGTATTATCAAACCATCATTCCTCTATGTACAACACTGTACAACATAACTAGAGCTTAGGAGGTCTGACAGAGCATATGACATTAAAGCATTCACACCATAGAAGCTTCTAAATGCGACTCTCTCTCTAAAGTTGAAAGCATCATAATTATCTCCACTCTATAAGTTTGAAGTGTCAGCAATCCACTATAAGTTTGAAGTGTCAGCAAATTGAAATCTAAGATTCCAAGACTATACCCTCTTCATAAGAACCACAATTATCACAGCAAAAGCCAGCATGAAGGCGTATTCTATGGTTTTGTTAAAGAAGACACCTGAACTGTCATTTGAGTCCTTAGACCCAATGCCCAGGAAACTGTGAAAAAACTCGGATATTGTGCTCATCAACTCCATTGCCTTCAGCCTTGCATTGTCAAAAAGTCCCTTTAGACTCTCTCCCCAGTTTCCAAAAGGCTTATCACCATCTTCTCTAAAGAGCTCTTCAGTCCCCAGGTTTTCAGCCATCTCAATGGGAGAAGCACCTGAGAAAAAGACAATATAGATATACAGGGCAAACCCAAAAAAAAGGTTACTTATGTCCAAATAAAGGTTTATTGTCAGTTTTTTAACCCATAAAAATGTTGAGGATAAATTAAGCTCTGGTTCTGTTTGGATGAAAATTGACCAATGTATTAACCCATGATAAAAAAGCATCAGTTGAAAGTAATTCTTACCCCTCTGCTGATGTGCCTGGCAGAACTCCACAACCTTCTCATTTTTCAACACAGCTTCCCAAACTGATTTATCAGTTGCTAGCGAGGTAACAATGTTCTACATGAAAGTAATAAGAGAATGTTACGAACTACATTTTTCTTTTTTCTTATCACAGAGAATGTTGGGAACTCAGGAACAAAAAGGAAGAGTTATGAAAATATAATCTCATGAATTCCTTCATATGTGTCATGCATTGTGCATGCAGAAACCATCAGGGACAAATTAGTTCCGAAATAATAAAAAAAAACCGTGATTTCAGAGAAGAGGGAGTTGATGAGGCCTGGGGCTACAAGACCTGCATTTCTTTGCCTACAATCTATTCTAAGCCAAAAAATAAAGCTCAGAAAAATGTATGTCAGAGGAGAGGACCCAAAGCAAGTGGGCCAAAACTAGTAAGGGGAAGGAGATTGTAAATATCATACTGGATGTTTCATCTTGGAACGGACTTAAATTCACAATTGCTGCTATGGCCCCATTGGTGGAAGTGTTGAGAATGGTGGATGGGGAAAAGGAACCACCCATGGGCCATATCTATACGGCAATGAAGATGCCCAGAGAGGAGATAAAGAATAAATTTAACAATGAAGAAAAATATGCCCCATTCTTGAAAATAGTGGATGACAAGTGCGATAGACAGTTAGTGAGGCCCTTGCATCTTGCAGGGTGTTTTCTTAACCCTCCATACTTCTATGCTGACCCACAAGTGCAGACTCAGAATGGCTTCATGGAAGCGATTAATGAGTGCACCATGAAACTCACAAAAGACCCAGATGTACAATATAAGAGTCTCAACTGATCCACAAAAGTATAGGCTATCTATAGGGTCACTTGGCTCAGAATTGGCAGTTAGGCAAAGGGCAAAGATTCCTGCAGGTAAGTTTTAATAATTTAATTCTTAGAAGTATTCTCTAAGTTCAAGTTTTCTCTGAGTGCTAAGTCCTGTTCTCTTCCTTTTTTTTTTCTATTATCTAGCTTCATAGTGGGCAAATCATGGTGGATCAGCCCATGACCTACAGCAGATGGCTACTTACATTCTTAATTTGACTTATTACATGGAGAGATATAAAATTGACCCCATTGTGCCGAATAACATGGATGATACTAGTGAGTAGGTGGTAGATAATGACGATGATGAAGAAGTCTTCCCTGGAGAGGAATTAACCTGGATCCAAGTTCATGATGCTGCAGGTTTACCCCAAAGCCCTTCACGAGCCACTAGATCACAAATAAGAGGGAGGAGGACCACGAGAATATTAGATGAGGAATAGGCAGATTCAGAAGAGACCCATGAAGATGTGCAGTACTTGGAATAAGGGGATGCCTCTGGTGACGGCAGCATGGCGCCATCATCAAATTCAGATACATCTGGTGGTGGAAGGGCCGTGATATAGCTAGCAATGATGATTGACGAAATTCAGTTTCCTTCATGAATTATAAGTTCATTGTCAATGTTTTAAAAAACGGTACACCTAGTCAGACTGGACCAAAAATACACCCGTCTAGACCCAGGCGGCCCTACACAGGCAGATGTAGGCGCTCAGGCGAGTGGCGCCCAGGGCAGATGTACCTGGGCAGGCGCCCAGGGCGGATGTACCTGGGCGGGCGCCTAGGCGGGCTAGGTGTTTCTCATTTTTTTAAAACTACAGGGCATCTGAGGTTTTGGGCGCCCGCCTTGGCACTGGGCGCCCAGCAGGCCGCCTAGTGTTTTTTGAAACCTTGTTCATTGTGCTTGTTTGAAACATTTGATGCTTTTTCTTCAGATTTTAAACTTTAATATTTTTATCATTTTAAGGAACATTGGATGCATGTTTGGTTTTCTTTTTCTTTTTCTTTCTTGTTAAAAAATTAGGTATTTTAACTCATATCCGGGGGGTTTACCAAACACTGAAAAAATATGACATTTCGGCTCCCATGTCTCTCGGCACCTGCCCCCATGTCTCAGGGCTAGGCAGGCACCTAGCCAGCCTAGTCCCCTCATCGTCTAGGCACTGCCTAGCGACTTCTTCAACATTGAGCAGAACTTTAAACTTAAAGATCCAGTTTCTCTTAAAATTTCAGCAGTCCTTACCATATAATATTTTACAAATAGTTGCCATATTTGAACAAGAAGAGAGACACAGGAGGGCATAAGGAATCCAAAAGATCGATGGTATGATCATAAAGATAATCATCATCCACTCAATACCATAGATCAGACAGCAATGGAGGGGGAATGGTAGATACAACTGAATTAACAACATGTTACATGGGATCCCTCTCCATCCAATCCAACCCTGATGACCCTCAAGATCGTAATATTACCATGAACACATGGATCAAAGTACACTTTCCTAAAACTTTCCTGCTTGCTCTTAAGAAACCAATCATGGGCCAAACTGTGAAGAATGGTAACTTCTGCTCAACTACAACCCAGTTTCAAACCATAAAGATTACCTGAATGTGTTAATTACAAGTTGCCATAGTGAATCTGAAATGGGAAAAAACTAAATATATAGCAAGGTGCATTTGAGGCTTGAAATCTAATCAGGATTTAAAACAGAGATAATGCAATAATCTACATTGTATTCTCACTATATGCTAACAAAAGCATTGGAAGGAGTATTTTGAAGTTACACAATGACATGAGCACAATAGCCCCACAAGGCTGCATCATCAATCTTGGATTACACTCCATTTTCCATTTTCAATACAATAAAAAAGAATTCATTGCCATTTATAAAAAAGTCATCGCTTTTTTTTCAGTTTTTCAGTAGCAAACCTTATTGAAGTTTAGTATGACATGCCAAATGCAGCAATAAATCCCACTGCCCCATGCTATCTTTAGTCATATGTATATGGAAAAAGATTTGGTCCACCCAGGGCAGATCGCTACAGTATTTTCCCTAACTCAAAACCACAGTTAAGGGAGCCCTTGGACCACAAAAGTTAGTCATACACCCAACAAATCCAAGTGCCCAAGCCCAAACTATTAATAATAATAATAATAAACATTCAAAAAAATAATGATAATAATAATACACCCATAGAAGTGAAACACCAGCCCCAACAGTGAACACAAAATGGTCCATTGCGACAACTAGATCTAAATTTTAGAGAACTCAATTTAAACTATTCATTTTCTTTTTCTTTTTAATTTAACTATTCATCTACTAATGATGATGCGATTTACAAAATTTGGGCTCAACAAAGCCCCAAGACTTTGACCTACAACCATTTTAGAACACCTTAAATGGAGGGCCATCCACTGCATTTTTCTCCCCTTAAAAAAACCATTGTATACGGTATTTTGCTGTTCTTTCACGATCTTGCTCTTTGAATCCAATCGTGCATGAAAATTTGGACCTAAACATGTCTCTTAGGATCTCAAAAACTATGTATGGCGAACACTATAACAGTCCACCATAGGGTGGATCACATCTTTCCAATGGATTTTTGAGGTGCGCCTTAATTCTACATTTTAAGGTTGCAACCTTATATAAACTTTTTCACCTTATATAAAGATTTTCCATATATATATATCTATATATATATATATATATATATATATATATATATATAGTTAGTATACTACACACGACTACTACTAGTACTATAGTTAAGTAGGTAGGTGTA